GTGCGTGCGTGCGTGTGTACTATTATATTCGAATTGAATGAATTCCACTTTCTCTACTGTTTTAAAAGAAGAGAGAATGATTGGTTTAGTAATTAAGTTTCTATGAGAATTATATTATTAATAACATTTAATTATATTCAATATTCAATTAAACAACAAATCAAAATAACAGCAAAATTAAAAGAAGAAGAAGAAGAAGGAAACGATAATTATTTAAAGGTTAATTGTAAAGAAATAAAATAAGCCTTGACAAAGATTAATTAACTTATGGGTTATTAACGTAATGATTATATGAATTTTGGTAATTTTAGAAGATTGATATGGGTTGGTATGGATCATACACATGTTCAAGTGTACTCAAAAACTGGAACAAAGTATTTTCTTCATCACGATTCATGTAATATACTAGAAATCGTACCCTGTCAGTCATTATTTAATAACAGTGATTAGATTGTCTTTTTTGTTGCTAACTATGATAAACTGTTTTCATTATGACATTCAGTCTTATACTAAATGCTTACTTATTGCTCTGTTCATTTTTCTATTGTTTTCTTTTTTTCGGAATTAGCATAAAAGCTTTTTTTCACACTTAACCAGAATAAATGTCTTTTTTTCAAAAAAGTTAGGTGTAAACTTATCAACGATTGATTAATATCAAACAGTTGAATTCAATTTAAAATTTATCTGAACTTTTGAAGATGGTTTTAGTCACGGACCAGTATTAGATAAGGAATTATTAGATGTTAAGAAGAATTGAATAATTGATCTTTTTTGTCGTTTTAGATCTTTTAGCTAATTAGCATCTAAGAAACCACGAAAGAACCAATTAAAAACCTTTGTGTAGATAGGGCATCAATCATGAAGACTACTAATCAATGATCACTTGGATGCACATACCATCAAATAAGTTAAGCTACAGATCGCGTACTGAAAAGCAATTCATACAGATTTTCTCTAGTTATATAACAAAAATGGAACCCCTCATATAATAACTTATTCTAGTTCCTATTGTTGATATGTTCGCTTACAGATCAATCCAAAAATCGAATTGCTCTTTCAGGGTCAACACATCACTTAAAGCCATATAGCTTGTGAGAGATGTAAGTTGGTGGTGAGCTGTTACTCAACATCAGCCCGCAAATATTCTTGTTTCGATCAGGAAACGTTATAAATGAATAAAAATTTTAGTATGATATGGTAAGGTTTTGTAGGTTAAGCAAAGTTTGTGCTATTTATCATTATTTCCAATCTCTCACGTTATTATCTCATACGATATCTGTCATACGATCATAGTTAACAGTATTAATATCTAAATTCACTTGGTAATATTTACTTGAATCTTTCCACTGATGTTTAAGACTGCAATTGATCAGTCTCCCTATTGGCATATGTGCATCCTGTGCGTATTGCCTAAATTTACAAGCATTATAAGCAAAGATGCTTATAGTAATTATATCTACCTACAAACCAGTCAAATGACTAAAATACCGTTGGACAATGCGGCTTTAAATGATGCATCTATGAATTAGTTGAAGATCATTAGTTTGACGAAATAAGGAGATTTCCTTTCCAATATCAGCTGTCAAGTAGGCAAAGTATTGATTTATATATATATATATATATATATATATATATATATATATATATATATATATATATATATATGGAGAGAGAGAGAGAGATTAGAAAATTATGTCGACTAGTTACAAAATAAACTTTAATCATTAACTTTTGTCATTAAGTACTTATTCATAAATAATTAATCTATCGGATAGATTCATTTCGACAATTAACATTGGACTTATGAAGTGTCTTGACTTAATTATTGTTGAACCCATTTACTCATTTTATGTGTGTGTGTGTGTATGTTTCTTATTTTTCATTCGTTTGTTTTATTATTACAGCGAAAAAAAAGTGAATAATTTGTTCGATGGACTTGAAAAACCTTTAGACAAGATTATTATTATTATTATTGTAATTCAATTAATTTATAGCATACATTTATTCTCAGTAAGATGTAACCCATTTACGCTTTTCTCTATGTAATCTGTCATTAATTATAGATCGATTGATTGATATATGAGTGTAATGAGCATATTTTAACTAGTAGCATTATTACTAATGATTACCATTGTAGTGAACAAGAACACGAGTGGGGATGATCGAATTCATTTGACACGACATTATAGAGCATCTCAATAAAATCTGAGAATAATACAGTAAATACTTCGTTTGTAAAATGTCAAACACTCGTCTCAGACTCCATTGTTCCTTTGGTTTTACAGCAATCATTCTTTGTTCTTGTTCTCTTTTCTTCGATCTTCTTAACCTTGTGCTGCCAGGCATTTCACTTTCGATTGATGATACATACTACTTATAACTGTCGACTTCAGTAGTACACACCACAGAATTAATAGATGATTAAATAATAAATTAATGTAATTAAAAATTAAATTAACGGGTGGATATCAGAAAGATTATTCAACGGATAAAATTATTTGATTACAAATCTATTAATAATTTAAATGGTAGGCTTATCACATTTATCTTCTGTGCATATAGACTAGATCTAAAACATTCTATTATGATAGCAACAACAATGCGGATTAAAGTTAATGTTTGTTCTTTGTTGACTATTCTGAACATTTTAGAGGTACTCATACCGTATCAAATACTTCTAGATACATGAAAACTGTGCTTGTGTAAACTTTGTTTCCTTTCAGAAATAAGTTTAGAGTGATATATTCGAAAAATATATGAGATATTTTTGCGTCCTTCATATATACTTGCTATCCCTAGCACATGAAGATTTCTAAATGCAATTATAGATTATGTTAGATAAGTGTTGGTCTTGGATGATTTATAAAAATTTCTATAAGTTGGAAAAGGTTTAAATCAAGCAGAAATGGTTATACTATTAAGTGTCGGATTCTAACTCTCTGAATCAATAATTATAGCATCGTCTGAAAATTTGTAGTTGCTGAATCTAAGAACGTTTTTATTAACAAGATCTTTTAAATTCTAACAAAACTTTGAAAAGTTATTTAGTTTTCAATCGTTCTCATTTTAAGTAAAACTAGGTGATGTGAATTACTTTCAAGTCCATATCATAAGTTGGGGGGGGGGAGTTAGATAATTTAGTAACGATAGTTTGAATTAAATAGCTAGATGGGAATAAAACTAGAAAATCATTTCTAATAGAACGTTTAACTATCAATAAGTAGTATATTATTGTAATCGAAAATTATTTGTCATACTAACCTTGGTAGATCAGTTAAATTAGTTTAACTTACAGTTGGTTACTAATGAAATTAAGTCATCATAATTAAGATCATTGTGAACGCTATATTGTTGTATATTTTCTCTATAGATTTAACATTTGATCACTGAATATTGACACATATATACACACAAAAAATGGATTTGAAATTTACAAGAATGCATCTGTTCTCGGTTTATTCGAAGATTTCTAAGTTAATAACAATACAGAATGGTTTTTTATGAATGTTTTGTATTATTTAAGGATTAAATCCATCACGAAACTGCATTACATGAATAATTAATGACAGCAAACATCATTGTCCAGTTGTTTACTATTGATCTATTCCAGAATCGATCTCTTAAATTCCCAATTATGTGGTACTTATAATGAATACTATAAGTTTAAAGTTTTGATTTCAATCAATTAATGTTGTAAGGAAATCCGCATCTGATTTGGTCAAAATACTGTTGTTCCATATTTATTTTTTTTAATTTAACGAAAATTTCGCAAAATGGACTTAATTATAATCAGTCCTAAACTTCAATGGGAAGATTTAAGTAAACAATACCAAGTGGCTATCAGAATTCAGTATTGAGGCGGATAACGCGATAGCGTTTGAAGTAAACGGTACTGCATTCGAGTCCCAAAGTAAGCATCAACTCTGAGATGCAGGTGCATCCGGCTGACGAGTCTCAATAGGACGAAACGCGCGTCCTGGATTCCACTGCTAGGCACTATCCATTTTTGCTCAATTTAATCGCTTAACATAAATGAAAATTTATATTTATGTTATTTTAAAACTTCTTAATGGCACATACTTTCGATAGAATCCCTTTCTACGAACTTGATAGTTTGATTAAAAAGTCCTTGTTGTCATTTAAAATATTTTAGGATTTAAGTGATTATCTTGTAGGATGTGTTAAGACAATGAAATCCAGGATGCCCATTATGTTTTATTTGAGACTCATCTACTAAATTAACCTAGACCTCAGCACTTATCACTTCAGATCCTGATGTAATATCCACTTAGAGAGTTCATATTAATCACTATTCAGTTCATGGGATGTGAGAATTATAGTTTGATAAGTCTGTGTTTTCTTATTATCAAGATTTCGCCCTAGATTTTAATCGATCTCTATTGTGACATGTGTACTATGAACAAACGCTTCAATATTATATGAATATACGAAATTTCATGATCGTTATGAATCTAAGTCTCACTGGCTGAAATCATGAGTCATTTGAAGCTAGACCACCATGGGAAACCTGGAAGCACTGGACGGCCGTTTCGTCTTGGTATGGGACTCCTCAGCAGTGCTCACTTCAGGAGACAATCCTGAAGTTCTAGTGAGAAATCGTTACCAGTGGAGTTCAACCAGGTCTGTTGTGAGATAGGAACTCACTGGAGACAATGGTGTACGGTGGCTCAACTTCGCGGATTGGTTAGGCATTAACACCGTTGGATGCCGGCTCTGTGGTCTAATGGTTAATCGCTCGCGCGCGAAACCAGTAGGTCCCGCGGGGTGCGGGGTCGTGGATGCGCACTGCTGAGGAGTCCCATACCAGGACGAAACAGCCGTCCAATGCTTCCAGGTTTTCCATGGTGGCCTAACTTCAATTGACTCATGATTTCAACTTGTGAACTTTCTAAAAATATCTACAAAACTCATTCTGATAAGAATCTAAGTCTTTCAAGGCCTTCCCTCTTTCGCCCTAAAAAAACAATTATTCATCAAATGATCCAACAATCTTTCCTTTTACATTTATAGTATGTTTTTTTCTATACATTAAACTTAGTACTAGAACTCATAAAGAAAATATTGATGAACTGAAAAGACGGATAATTAGGGAAAACAAATAAACAAACATGAAATATCAATTCAGTCAAAATAATAATAATAAAGAAGCGTTTTATAAAACAAATTGAATCTAAGTTGAACGCATTAAAAGTAATTCAGTAATATATATCGTGCTAAAAATAGGAAAAAATTTCCATACATAATAATACATATGATTATGATTATAAAAAATTCAATATTATAGATGCTTATTAATGTTATGTATTACATAATCTATTGATTATTTATTAAAGTTCAGTAATATTTGAAGATGTACTGCTTCTACGATTTCCTTTACTATGTCGTCGATCAATAAAAATTGTTGGTCCAGGTGATTGTAGTGATATTCTTCGCCTAGGTTGTGTGATATTATCTTCTGAATTGTGTTTAATCATATGAGTTTCGTCATGTAACGATGTAAATTCTGATATTTTGATAATTTGTCGTTTCGATGAAGGAATGTTAACAGTATTATAATTTTTGGTATCAGTATCAGAAGAAATATTTGACTGAAAAATAAAATGTATGGGGTATTTAAAAAAAGGTAAACAGTTAAACTGTGGCAGCTGATATGGATTTATCAGAAATTAACCTCGATCAAAAGAACTAGGAGTAATTAACTCATATTACGTCATTATCATCATCATCAACAATGTTTTTGATCAATGAACTGAAGTTCAGATTATGCCATATAGAATAACATAAAATGTAGTTTTAAAGCTATATCTGTTCATTCGCTTATAGCTCTGTTAAATCCCTCGAAATACATAGCTAAAGTTATACTATTTAGAAAAGTCTATCAGGAAATTAAAAAGTAATAATTAATTGTTTGTTCTAATCGTAGGACGGATCAAGGACAAAGAAGGCAGGCCAATCACTGAAATTCAAGAACAGAGGAGAAGATGGGTAGAGTACTTTGAGGAACTCTTGAATAGACCAGTTCAATTGAACCCACCTGAAGTCGAAGCAGCACACAAAAACCTTCCAGTAGATGTCAGTCGACCAACGATCGAAGAAATGAGGATGGCCATTAGACAAATGAAGAGTGGGAAAGTAGCAGGACCTGACGATACAGCAACTGGAGCATTGAAGTCAGACGTTGAGGTAACTGCAAAGATGCTTCACCTTCTATTCAAGAAGATTCGGAAGGAGGGACGAGTGCCAACGGACTTGAAGGAAGGACACCTCATCAAGATACCAAAGGAAAGAGATCTGAACAAATGTGAGAACTGAGCTACAGAGGCATCAAACTACTGTCAATACCAGGAAAGATTTTCAACAGTGTTACTGAACCGGATGAAAGACACAGTAGACGCCCAACCTTGAGATCAACGGGCTGGATTCCGTAAGCATTGACCGTGAAAACAGACCAAATCGCGAAACTACGGATCGTTGGTGAACAATCAATTGAGTGGAACTAGTCACTATACATTAATTTCATTGACTATGAGAAGGCGTTTAACGGTGTAGATAAGAGAACATTATGTAAACTTCTTCGACACTATGGCTTACCTAAGAACATCGGCAACATCATCCGGAATTCATACGATGGACTACAATGCAAAGTGGCGCATGGAGGACAGCTGACAGATGCATTCCAATTAAGGACCGGAGTCAGACAAGGTTGTCTACTCTCCCCACTCTCTCCCGGTGAATGGCTGGATTATGAAGACCTCGACATCTGAGAGGAAGCACGGAATAAAATGGACAGGTTGGATGAAACTAGACGATTTGGACTTCACAGATGTCTTGGTACTTCTGTCCCATACACATCAACAAATGCAGGTTAACACAAACAGTGTAGCAGAAGCCTCTACCTCTGTAGTAGTAGGTCTCAACATACACAAGGGAAAAGGAAAGATCCTTAAATACAACACGAAAAACACCAGCCCAATAGCCTTGATGACGAAACTCTGGAAAATGTTGAATCTTTCATGTACCTAGGAAGCATCATCGATGGACAAGGAGGATCCAATGCGGACGTAAACGTTATGATTAACAAAGCAAGAGCCGCATTCTTACAAATGAAGGACATATGGAACTCGAATCGACTGTCAACCAACATCAAAGTCACAATCTTCAATACAAACGTTAAGACAGTTCTACTGTACGGAGCTGAAACTTGCAGAACCACCACAACCATCATCAAAATGCTCAAGTATTTATAAACAATTGTCTACACAAGATACTCAGTGTCCGTTGACTGGATATCATGAGCAACAGTCTATTGTGGGAGAGAACAAACCAGCTTCCAAATGAAGAGGAAATTAAGAAAAGACGATGGAAATGGATAGGAATACATTACGCAAATCACCAAACTGAATCACGAGGCAAACCATAACTTGGAATTGTGAAGGGAAGAGGAAAAGAGGAAGGCCAAAGAACACATTAAGTGGGGAAATAGAAGCAGATATGAAAATGATGAATAACAACTGGAAAGAAATGGAAAGGATTGAACAGTAGAGTGTTAGATGGAAAGTGCTGATGGGTGGCCTATGCTTCTCCATAAAAAGTAACAGGAGTAAGCAAGTCTAATCGTAGGACTGATTAAAACTCTCTATATTTGAAATAGTTGTCCATGTTGTGTTAAAGTGATTATAACTATGATTGTATAGATTACTTCTAAAGTATCTAAATGTATCGAGATAACAGTTCAAAAGCTTCATTTCGATTCAGGTAAATGGTTCCAATATTTTGGCTTCATTGTTTTCATTGTTATTCTCCGCAGCCACCTCAACTCCTATTTAAAATAGTATTATAATAACTAGATTTTCATTTTCTATTAAAGAAGTTAAAATATATACTATTGATTTCATCACTCATACGAACCTGCACATTCATTATGAAAATGAAGTTTACTTTAGTGTAATGTTTCACTAATAAGTTTTACACACCTTTCTATTAGGTTTTTACATTTTTTCTTAGTGAAAGTCAAAATACTATTGTTAAATGAGTGTAACAATTTTGTACATTCACTAACGATAAATCCTTGTCGTACATATATAGAGAGATATCAGTGATGAGTGTTTGATGATGTGATGAAGAACAGTCGTTAGCAGTAATAAGTCAAGGGATGTATGATTCATTCAACTGAACAATATCATACCATGATATCATGTTGTCAACAAGTGCCATCATTAACTAACGATTTATAATCAATAAAACATACTGCAATTTTCGACCAATAAACCTCGAGATCACACCACATTTTTCGTACGACGAATGACTGCTAATAATAAATGACAGTCAATATTAACTGGGGAAAATTTTATAGCACACAATCTAACACAGGACAGGATATAAATGGATAGAAAATACCCTAATTGTAAATAAAATCCAAAATTATTTCCCAAAAACTGAGTTGCAAAACCAATGGAATTATTATAATTAAATAAATATAATCTGCTATTTTGAGGTTTTTCATTTATTTAATGTGGTAGATTGACAATGGTCATTTTGCTAGAAGATTAAAAACGGTTTATTTGATTGAGTTCTTGAAACTACTTAAATACTATTCTAAGTAACATACATATCATAAAGAAAAAAATAGAGATGAATGTTCATTGTTTACACTAACTGTGGTGTCATTGTCGTATGATTTTTTCATTAGTATTTCTGAAATATTTCTATTAGATGATTCAGTTGTTTCATTTTCTTTATGAATAGTCTAACGGAAAGAAAGGAAAAAAAGGAGAAAAGAAATTACTGGATAAATATGCACTATTGGCAAAAATAAACGAAATCAGGCTACATATATTTGCTGTGTGATACATGCAGTCAGTTAGTATGGTCAATATAAATTTCTGTTATCTGTACGCAACACTAAATTCAAAATTCAATTCACATTACATGCATTAAAAATATTGTTCTATTATTCTGAACAGCAATAATGGGAATATTGAGAATGATTTATTTAAAACACTTTCATGTGTAAAAAGGAAGACTGAAAAGAGATTAACTGTATTTAGTATTTGCGGTAATCATTGGATGACACGATTATTTGGTTGTTGAGATATGGACTGTAAAATTACTGACGTTAGAAATATCGAACTAAGTGGGATACAACTATTTAGTTTAAGTGTATTATGATTGAAGTAATATCAGAGGATTATGGTTTTAGAGGCTTGGCAGAGGCAGGATTATGGACTGTTGAGGAGATTCAAACGAGAGTAAAACAGAAATCGAGTACCGTTCAGCTTTCTGGGATCTTCAACTAACGTTATTTCATGACGAAAACTATCATCAAAAGTGAATATTATAAACATGATAATGATCATACTTTTTTAGTGAAGGCTAATCAATAAGTGATTTTATCAAAAATTAAACAAAGTTTTTACGGAATAGCCTGTTTGAGACTGTTCAGATGAATGTAACTGCATTCTAAAATTGATGTTTACCCACAGACTCGAACTTCAAACGACAACGCGTTATCTACTTAACTACTGTTTCTAGATAGCTTCTCACTTGAGCAACGTACATGAGTTCTAAAGAGATTATTTTATTGCAAACGGTAAATGATGCAACAATCTAAATTATTTATTCTCGAAAGAGATTTCCAAAGACTAGAACAACTTTGTTTTAAGTTTAAAACTGGGTTGAATGAATGTGATGATTGAGTGCTGATAAATCGTGCCAGTGAATTCATAAAGAAGCATGAAATCATTATGATTCGTGGATTCATATAGATTGTATATAAAAGTGTAATGTAAAATCCACTAGCTCAATTTGTTATCAGTGATAACTAATGTCGTATCATTTTAATAATTCAAAAATCTTTTAGTATAGTATTGAGAGCTTTCTGTTTAAAGTTTCTTTGGATCTCCACTGCTTATGGTGATTAGACATAGACTTATCTGACTGTTTTCTTAAATTTTATTTGTTCTTACTAATACAATAGTTAATTATGAAGTCACATTGCGTAAACATTATTCAGAATTTAAGATACTGCTTCGGTGTCGGTAACTACTCCATCTTTGCTAACAATATGATGTTCAATAACTTGATAACAAAAAAATACATAACCAAGTGTTGTTTCATTTCTCGTCCATTAAATATCGATCGGTTCTAAGAATTCGAATAACTGGGATTTTATAAGTCGATTATATATTTCGAATGATGTAACTGGTCAAGTGACTTGAACAAGAAAAATCGACATACTATAATAATGATACAGTAATAATATCCAAAACTGGTTTTCCTCATTAATGAACATCAATATCAATGAAAAAATCAGTGGGCATTAGACAGATTTAGCCACAATCTATCCAGAGTTAGAATCCAGGATCTTTGGGGAGAAAGAGAATAAGGGTTGGAACATAACGTTCTACATTTTTGGATTATATTCATGATATACAGTAATAAGCTTACGATCTCATACTACATTGATGATTGTTTCACTTTTAGCTTAACTGAACTCTTTCAGTCAATTTAAAATTGATAATTTATATTAATATAAAATACTTTTCAGATGCTTCCTTGTTCTCAGAGTTATTCCAACTGATGTTCATTCGTCATGACAACCACTTAAAAAATAAACGAATTTTTACAACCTACTCAACTAAATCATTATGTCATACAAATATATGATCACCATATATCTTCACTCTTGATTTAACCTGACTATTTGTATAGTATATTTTAACTGGTGAAATTCATTTGGGTAGACTATAATTTATAGACGGTCTTTGAGCGATTCCAAATTGACCTTGAAAGTGTTCATTTAATAACCAGGACCAGATGAAGGTTATAAACTTATGTAAGGAATTAGAATTATGATTTACAGTTGATGGTTAAAGTTAGGAATTAAATTTAGAGTTTTCATCACAAACTGACATAAGTTATAATGCCAAATGGATTTATCCAAATGGATGAATGAATTTTGCTCTCAAATCCGAGACCTGTAATCTTATACTTGACTAGTTCGTTCATAAAGTATAGTCTCGTAATTCATTCTAATGGAGTCTTTTGTGTTTAGTCCAATGACCCGAATATTAACAGTCATCGCTACAATCATCATCATCGTCATCATCATCATCATCATCATCATCATCATCATCATCATCATCATCATCATCATCATCATCATCATCATCATCATCATCATCATCATCATCATCATCATCATCATCATCATCATCATCATCATCATCATCATCATCATCATCATCATCATCATCATCATCATCATCATCATCATCATCATCATCATCATCATCATCATCATCATCATCATCATCATCATCATCATCATCATCATCATCATCATCATCATCATCATCATCATCATCATCATCATCATCATCATCATCATCATCATCATCATCATCATCATCATCATCATCATCATCATCATCATCATCATCATCATCATCATCATCATCATCATCATCATCATCATCATCATCATCATCATCATCATCATCATCATCATCATCATCATCATCATCATCATCATCATCATCATCATCATCATCATCATCATCATCATCATCATCATCATCATCATCATCATCATCATCATCATCATCATCATCATCATCATCATCATCATCATCATCATCATCATCATCATCATCATCATCATCATCATCATCATCATCATCATCATCATCATCATCATCATCATCATCATCATCATCATCATCATCATCATCATCATCATCATCATCATCATCATCATCATCATCATCATCATCATCATCATCATCATCATCATCATCATCATCATCATCATCATCATCATCATCATCATCATCATCATCATCATCATCATCATCATCATCATCATCATCATCATCATCATCATCATCATCATCATCATCATCATCATCATCATCATCATCATCATCATCATCATCATCATCATCATCATCATCATCATCATCATCATCATCATCATCATCATCATCATCATCATCATCATCATCATCATCATCATCATCATCATCATCATCATCATCATCATCATCATCATCATCATCATCATCATCATCATCATCATCATCATCATCATCATCATCATCATCATCATCATCATCATCATCATCATCATCATCATCATCATCATCATCATCATCATCATCATCATCATCATCATCATCATCATCATCATCATCATCATCATCATCATCATCATCATCATCATCATCATCATCATCATCATCATCATCATCATCATCATCATCATCATCATCATCATCATCATCATCATCATCATCATCATCATCATCATCATCATCATCATCATCATCATCATCATCATCATCATCATCATCATCATCATCATCATCATCAGCATCATCATCATCATCATCATCATCATCATCATCATCATCATCATCATCATCATCATCATCATCATCATCATCATCATCATCATCATCATCATCATCATCATCATCATCATCATCATCATCATCATCATCATCATCATCATCATCATCATCATCATCATCATCATCATCATCATCATCATCATCATCATCATCATCATCATCATCATCATCATCATCATCATCATCATCATCATCATCATCATCATCATCATCATCATCATCATCATCATCATCATCATCATCATCATCATCATCATCATCATCATCATCATCATCATCATCATCATCATCATCATCATCATCATCATCATCATCATCATCATCATCATCATCATCATCATCATCATCATCATCATCATCATCATCATCAGCATCATCATCATCATCATCATCATCATCATCATCATCATCATCATCATCATCATCATCATCATCATCATCATCATCATCATCATCATCATCATCATCATCATCATCATCATCATCATCATCATCATCATCATCATCATCATCATCATCATCATCATCATCATCATCATCATCATCATCATCATCATCATCATCATCATCATCATCATCATCATCATCATCATCATCATCATCATCATCATCATCATCATCATCATCATCATCATCATCATCATCATCATCATCATCATCATCATCATCATCATCATCATCATCATCATCATCATCATCATCATCATCATCATCATCATCATCATCATCATCATCATCATCATCATCATCATCATCATCATCATCATCATCATCATCATCATCATCATCATCATCATCATCATCATCATCATCATCATCATCATCATCATCATCATCATCATCATCATCATCATCATCATCATCATCATCATCATCATCATCATCATCATCATCATCATCATCATCATCATCATCATCATCATCATCATCATCATCATCATCATCATCATCATCATCATCATCATCATCATCATCATCATCATCATCATCATCATCATCATCATCATCATCATCATCATCATCATCATCATCAGCATCATCATCATCATCATCATCATCATCATCATCATCATCATCATCATCATCATCATCATCATCATCATCATCATCATCATCATCATCATCATCATCATCAGCATCCGTCACACATACAGTTTTTATATATTTTAAATGGTAACAATGAATAATTTATCACAGATTACTTAAAAAAGTATATTTCATAATTTTTCATATCATTGTACACTGTGTACAGCAACGATGCTAAATTAATAATAATGACGGATATAGAGAATGAGGAACATCAGTCACCGAATGGATCAGTTATATAACAAGA